ACAACCTTTATTAATTTTGCCACCACAAACATCATCACATTTTTTGCCGTCGAATATCACCACAATTTAGATTATGTATAATAAGTATATTAATTGAAAGAAATAATTAAATTAGGAAAAGTGCAAAATTGATGAAAAGTGTGAAATTTGTGTTGAAGGTTGACCGTTGGAGAGTTGCGGATTTTTTTTATTACAGTCATATAAAAAAGTGTAGCAGTTGGAGAGTTACAATATTTTGACTATATATATAATTGCCACTTCAGAAAGGCAGTTCACAATTGGCCCAAGTCGTCTCGCCAAAGAGCGAGGCTTGATACCTTCGTTCACTTCCTTTTTAATGATCCTCAACTCAGCGAACCTATTGACATAGCTGTGGGAAAATAAAAAGTCAATTTCGTTCAATGTTCAGCAAACCTATATAATTTGGGAAAATACTATCGCTATACACTACTCCCATCACATGGCCAAAGGCGAATGAACACGTGATACAATATCTTCTGTCATGAATGAACATCCTCCTTGTCACATGGCGAGAGGACCACTGCTATGTAAGCACTTTAAAGGAGAGAGAAACAGAAAATCTGTTAAGAGTAACTTTCTCGTCGATCGCCAAGGGACCGTTGAGAATTTACTTATTCAGCCACAGCGAAAAATAAATTATTTTTCAATTCCCACCGCGGATCTGCTTTGTATTTAGATAGAAATTGTGTTTAGAATAATACATTTGATGAATTCTGCAAACTCCTTTGCTGATTTTTGAACTCGAATGATCATGATTTGCAATTCAAACTATCCAATTGTTCAGCTTTCAATGGTGATCCACACATAGAATAAGAATGACGACTAGTGTTTTCTTTTCTTGTACTAACAAAAATAATGAATTATTTCATATAGTTTTCAAACCCTAGTAGCCTATTAATATAAGCTCAAGTGGAATTGAACCGTCTCTTAAACTTAACCCGATCCAATATTTAATTAATCAAATTAATTAAATCTGATCCATAAATTAATTAATCCAGGCCTATTAATAAGTAATTCAATTAATTAATTGTCAAACACTTGTCAATTAATTAATTGGTAAATCTCATTCTTCTAGTTCTTTTTTGTGTGTGACTTATTAGGTTCTCAATCACTATGTTTAACGACGTGAATTATTATTAATCAAAATCGATAAATTAAAACATCTTTTTTTAATTTATCATTAATTCACATTCGTCGTCCCAGATTAACATCTAACAATGTGTCAGGACAATACATGACAAAACCAAACTTGTTCGTTTACCGTGAAACTATAATCATCTCGTCAATATGATCTAATCAATTAAGAGATATGAATATGTGTCAATCTCAATTATTGATCGTACATTTTTTCCCATTGTTAAGTCAATGCAAGTTGAAAACTCATTTTCGACTTATGATACATTGGCCAATGATTTCATTATCAACTTAATTGGATAAAATGTAGATCATAATCTCTTACTATCTGAGAGTGACGAATCATCTATTGATTATTCACAACTTTCATATGATTCTTGACATACTCGAGCGATACGTATTAGCGATCATTGGTAGAGCAACGTCTAACATCACCAAAATATGAATGTCCTCATATAAGGCACTATGATGACCTCCAGTCAAATAATCAATTCCACTACCGAACGTTAGAGACTAACCACCGACACTTAGATAGTTATCTATGTGGAATCTTCTAGCGGGTCTCCAATGTTTTATTCTATAACAAAACATTCACGTGTTCATTCAAATATCACCACACTTTAGTTTGTGAGATCAACTACTTACTTCACAAGTAAGAAATGTCACACGTGATGGTCTATTCGTAATAACGATATCTGTATCTCG